CCCCCCTCAGGGTAAGTGTCTGGAGGTCATTTAGCCTTTAACGCCTTCCTCTCGGGATTACTGGAGGTCGCTCGTCCCTCCAAAGATGGCCCTGCTTCTCTGCTTACTCGCTCACCTCAGGGTCACTGAGAGGCAACCCCTGTGACTGGTTTAGCCCCCTGTAACCCTTCCTCTCTCTGCCCTAGCGGCTCAAGGATTACCAGCGGCGCCTGGACTTGACTCACCTACGGCAGAGCAGTGACCCTATGCTGAGCGAGTTCAAGGTGAGCCCAGTCACCTCTGCCCCCCTCCCTTCTGTGTCCCTTCCTGCCACCTAGCTGACCATGGCTCCTTGCTGCCTCAGAACCTGGACATCACTAAGAAGAAGCTGATCCATGAAGGCCCACTGACATGGCGGGTAACGAGAGACAAGGCTGTCGGTGAGTGCTGCCTCTAGCCAGGGGCGGGCCACGGCAGGGGCTTGGGGAGGTCAGGTGTGACTTGCTGCCTCACCCAAAGAGGTCCACGTGCTGTTGCTGGACGACCTGTTACTGCTGCTCCAGCGCCAAGATGAGAAGTTGCTGCTCAAGTCACACAGCCGGACACTCACACCCACGCCCGACGGCAAGACCATGCTGCGGCCTGTGCTCCGCCTTACCTCTGCCATGACCCGAGAGGTGGCCACTGGTGAGCTGGGGCAGGTCTTCAGAGTCTCATGAAGTAGAGAGTGGAGCTCTCTCAGAGCCGCAGAGCCCACTCTGGGACAAGACTGAGAAAGGTCTAAGTGAGGCAGAAATGGGCGGGACCAAGTAAGGGTGGCAAACGTGGTGGCTTACACTGTCATGCTGGCACTCAAGAGGCTAAGGCAAGAGGATCTTGAGTTTGAGGTCAGCCTGGTTAAAAACAGAGCCAGGCGTAGTGGTGGCGCACGCCTTTAACTCCAGTACTCGGGAGGCAGAGACAGGGGGATCTCTGAGTTCGAGGCCAGCCTGGTCTCCAGAGTGAGTTCCGGGACAGTCAGGGCTACACAGAGAAACCCTGTCCTAGGAAGGAAGAAAAGGAAGAGGGAAGCATAGTCTGCCCTGATGGAGATTTTTCACAGTAGCTCCTGTTGAGGAGTTGTAGGTACTTGGGACATGAGGCAGAACCTCGGGGCAGAGAGTCAAGCAAGCCATGCTGAGACGCTGTGGGGGAGGGGCACATACTGGCCACCTCGGCTCCCAGCCCCGCCTCTCTGCTCCCTATGCAGATCACAAAGCTTTCTATGTCATTTTTACCTGGGACCAGGAGGCCCAGATGTATGAGCTGGTGGCACAGACATCATCAGAGCGCAAGAAGTGAGTCCCCGGGGATGGTGTGAAGGTGTGTGTGCACACACGCTCGCACGGGGCTTAAGTGTGCTGAATGCCTCTGGTATTAGGTTGTCTCCCCAGCTGGTGTGCCCTCATCACTGAGACTGCTGGCTCCCTGAAGGTCCCTGCCCCCGCCTCCCGCCCCAAGCCCCGACCCAGCCCAAGCAGGTAAGGAAGGAGTCAAGGACAGAGCTGAGAGCCAGGGAATGGAGAACGTGTCCCTTTGCATCTACAGAACTCGAGCCCTGTCTCTGTGTGCTCACGTCTATAAGCATGTATATACGTGTGTCCCCCAGCCCCTGGCACCCCCTTGGGATTGGGATGTGGGGTCAGTCGCCTATCGCTTCATTCCCTAGCACCCGAGAATCCCTGCTCAGCAGCTCTGAGAATGGCACTGGAGGCCGAGAGATGCCTCCAGCTGACAGTAAGTCCCAAGGTCACTGGCTTGGGGGGCGGGGGTCACGGGGAAACCAGGCAGGATCTAAGCATCCCTCTTTGTCTGCCTACGCAGCCCGGACGGAGCGTATCCTCAGCGACCTCCTGCCCTTCTGCAGACCAGGCCCAGAAGGCCAGCTTGCTGCCACAGCCCTTCAGAAAGGTAGGCCAGCTCTGCACCCTCCAGGTCCAGGAGCTGGGCAAACGGTGCCCCTGTTTGAACTAGAGGAAGGCTCCGTCTTTCAGATTTCTCTATCCGCGAATCCAGAAACTCTGCCCTGTCCACACCATCCTGGGTGGCCCATGTCACTCGTTCTTCAGCTACTCTCCCTCAGGCCTCCTGCCCCATCCTCCTCACATCCAGAATCCCAAGCCCTGCCTCTGTGACCTTGTCCCCCTTGCCTTGGCCAGTGCTGTCCCTGAAACAGCTCTTGTTGCCTGCTGAGGAAGACGGTGGCCTGGGGCCTCCCCAGGATGGGGATGGGGTTCCTGGAGGCTGTTCTCCAGGCCCAGTGCAGATTCAGGAGATTCAGGAAAACCTGCTCAGCCTAGAGGAAGCTGTCAAGCAGCTGGAGGTAAGCCTGTGGTGGGGAACCTGGGGCAGCCTGCGGTGTGATGGAAAGGCGCCTTCATCTCGGATCTCCTCCAGGAGTTAGAGGAAGAATTTTGCCGCCTGAGACCCCTCCTGTCTCAGCTTGGGGGAGCTCTGTCACCCAGTCTGGCTGCCCCCAGGGCCCCGGAGCGCTCTGTTCAGACTGGTGAGTCAGGAGCTGGGCCAGGGTGCTGGGGGGGGGTGCCCTGTCCCACTGTCCCCCTGTCCCCTGTCTGCCTCAGTCCTGTCCCTCCCTACCTCTACTTTCTCACCCTCCTTTCTCCATCTCTCCTTGTCTCCCTCTTGTAACCCTCAGGCCTTTGGTGAAGACAAGAATGGGGGAGAGGATGTGAGGGCCCCCCACCCCCACGGCTGCCACAGCGTCTCTCACCCCAGAGGCCTTGAGGAGGAGGAGACTGGCCACACTCATAGGGGACCTGCCGGGACCCCTGCCTCCCATGCTGGCCTCTGCCTTTCTCCCTCCTGCCTTCGCTTGGGGGACTCAGGGCATCACCCCCAGAGTACCACCACATCCCGGTTTTTCAGGCCATGTCAGTATTGCCTATGGTGGGGCTCCCCCTCCACCCCCATCCCAAGTGCCTTTGCTCTGTTTTTAGACCCTGAATGGAGGTTTATTTTTAATATATATTATCTAAGGAAAAGTCTGTGTGTGGGGGGGAGAGGGGGGCCC